AAAAAAAAAAAAAAGAAATCCCAGGACTAAAGGCATGCATGTACAATAAAAGTCTGCCCGGAAACGGCATGCAACAGAAGAGAGTTCAAAGCTCTTTAAAGTAAGCTTACAATATGCATAAATACATCAGGGTTATATATTAATAAGGGAGGAAGTATTCTGTTTAACATTATTAACATTCCTGTTTGTTTTTTGTGTGTGTGTGTGTGTTTTTTATTTATTTTTTTGTTATTTTTTTTTTCTTCCTATTCCTCCCAGAGGAATACACATTCACCTTTAAGTAAAGATAAAGGAATACAAAAAATAAAACTCACTTTGCAAACTCTGATGACTTGTATAAAATCAACTTTAGTGTTCTCCTAGCTGTGTGCAAATTAGACTTCTGCAGGATCGACCTTTTTTTTTATTATTATTATTATTTTTTTTAACCTCAGGCACATTCAGGAAGCCCCATCCCGGGGGAACGGCGCCGCCCGGGGACGGACATCACAGTTTGGGCTCGTCCTGGGGGAGGCCCCGGCTCCGCGGGCCGGGCTCGCGACGCCTCAAAGGAAAAGCGGCTGTTTCCTCAGCGCGGCGAGCAGGGCAGCGCCACGCGGGCTGGGCCGGGCCCAGACGAGCCGGGCCTGGCTGGGCCGGGCCTGGACGCGTTGAGTCGAGTCAACCCAGCTGGGCTGAGCTGAGACAAATAGGGCTGAATCTGAGCCTGCTGGGCCTAGCTAGGCCAAGCCTGGCCATAATGAGCTGAGCTGAGCTGAACTTGACCAAGCCAGGCCCAGCTGGAGCAAGTCAAGCTGAGCTGAGCTGAGCCGGGCTGGGTTGACCCAAGCCAAGGTGTGTTGAGTCAACTGAGCCATGCTGAGCTGGGTCAGGCCAAGCTGAGCCAGGCTGGGCTTGGCTGAGCTGAGCCAAGATGCGTTGAGTCAACTGAGCCAAGCTGAGCYRGGTCAGGCCAAGCTGAGCCAGGCTGGGCTTGGCTGAGCTGAGCCAAGATGCGTTGAGTTGAGTCAACTGAGCCAAGCTGAGCCAGGTCAGGCCAAGCTGAGCCAGGCTGGGCTTGGCTGAGCTGAGCCAAGATGCGTTGAGTTGAGTCAACTGAGCCAAGCTGAGCYRGGTCAGGCCAAGCTGAGCCAGGCTGAGCTTGGCTGAGCTGAGCCAAGATGCCAAGACGAGTCAATTGAGCCAAGCTGAGCTAGGCTGGGCTGAGCCCAAGGCTGAACCAGGCTGAGCCGAGTCAAACTGGGCTGGGCTGAGCCAACCAAGACGCRTTGAGTTGAGCCAAGCCCAGCTGGGCTGAGCCGAGACAAACAGAGCTGGGCCGGGCCAGGCCGGGCCAGGCCGAAGGGAGCCGCCCTCCGCCCGGCACCGGGACGGCCGCGGCCGCATCCCGAAGTGGCCGGCGGGCGCGGGGGCAGCCAAGGACACTTGTGTAGCCGCCGCCGCCGCCGGGGCCGCCGGGGCCAACAACAGCACCAGTGAAACCTCCCGCGGGGCGGCGGGCGGCGCCGGGCGCGGGAGAGGGAGCAGAACGGAACAGAAAGGGCAGGGAAGGGCAGGGAAGGGCAGGGAAGGGCAGGGAGGCAGCGCGGCCGGCCGGGACGGCCGCCCGGCGCTGCCCAACCGCGGGGAAATGGGTGGATACAAAAACGAAAGGCACTGCCGCTTTATTACTAAACATTCGACTTCACAGCCTCATTCATGCAACTGCTTTTTTCCTTTTTTTTATATATATATATAAATAATTTTTATTCTATTTTAGGGTTTGATCTTTTTTTCTTTTTTTTTCCTTTTTCCCCCTGTTTTGGCGGAGCTCTGCGACCCGCAGGCAGCGCAGGCCGGGGCAGAGCCGGGGCCTTCCCGAATGTGACCGCAGCCTCTTCCTCCCTCCAGAACACGGACCCGCAAACGCAACCAAGCCGTRAAGACCCGAGACGCCGCCGATGGGAAAGAAGCTTCGACGAAAGAAAGAAAGAAAGGTAGAAAGAAACAAAAATCACAAAAGAGAAGCAAGCAAGCAAGCGTGGTGGTGGTGGTGAAGAAGGGACACCCGCACGGAGCCCGGCCCAGCACCCGCGTGCATCCCGCATCCCGAGCTGCACCGGCCGCGCTCGGATAACCCGTTTCTCTGTCCAGCCTAGGGATAACTGGGCCCGGCTGCTCCCGCGTCCCGCCGCGCTCCCTGCTCGCTCCGAGCTCTGCTCGCTCCCTCCTGCTCCCGCCGCCGGCGCCCACGGAGCCCCCGCGGCCGCGCTCGGCACCTCCGGGGCCTCCTCCGCGACCCGGCACCTGCTCCGACCTGCTCTCCGGCTCCGCCACGTCCCACCCGCCCTCGCTGCCCCACCAGGGGCTCCCGCTCCGCTTCTCCCGGCCCCTTCCCGGCACCGCTGTGAGCGCCGCGGATACGGGGATTTTTAGGCACACCGAAAAGGCGTTTTCTTTTTCTCCTTGCCAACGCCAAGGCCGGCTCCGTCGCGCCCCGGACAAACAGCATCTGCCCGTGGTGCATTTGCCAGCGCTTCCGCCCGCTCTCTCCTCGTGTTTGTAATTTCTTTTTTGTAATTTTGTCTTTTTTTTGCCCCCCCCGCGCCCCAGCCAGCATGGATGGGTGAGAAATGACAACACAAACTCCAAGTCTAATGATATGTTCACAAGGACACACGGAGACGTGGGGAGGCCCCGGCGCAGCCCGCGCCGCAGTCGCTCCCCGGCCGCGCCGCCGCCGTCGCCTCCTAGATCGTGGACGTTCGGTCGACGCCATCTGCAAAGGGGAGGGTGATGGGGAGGGAACGGAGAGTTAGGAGGCGCCGGGAGCGCCCGGCCCGGAGCTCCGGACACCCCGTTTCGGGAGCGGGGGGATCCGCAGGGCGACATGCCGAGCACGGAGCTGCTGCTTGCGCCTCCCAGCCCAGCACGCCGGGGACGTCCCCTCCTCCGGCGGGGGAACCTTCCCCCTGCTCCAGACGGAGGCTTGAGGAGGCCTCTTCTCCTTCCCTTTCCCTTTCCTTTTCCCTTTCCCTTTGCCTTTCCCTTTGCCTTTGCCTTTCCCTTTGCCTTTGCCTTTCCCCTTCCCTTCCTGCCCAGCCCCACGCCGCTGCCGGTGGCTCCCAGCCCTCCCGCCCTGGCACCAGGACATCTCCCGGAGCGGCTCGCAACATTCCGGCACTGCCGGTGCCTCGGAGCTGCCCAAGGCCCCCGGAGCCTCCGGCCGCGCGGCGCTGCCCTCCCGGCCCTGCCCCGCGCGCTCGGCCGCTGGCCTTCCCACACCGAGAACAAACAGGGTGGTTACTCTCGGGTTTGGGTTTTTCTGTTGAAGGTTTATTTCTTTTCTCTCCTTTTGGAGCTACTTCGAGCACGAGCGGTTGAGAGGGGCTCCTGGGGGCTGAACCCAGCCCGGGGCTGCTCCGGGGTCCCGCGCCGGGTGATCCGGCCCCGGCGCCTCCCCGGGGCCCCGCGTGCCCAACAAACCCCGTGGAGCCCCCGGGGCGGCCAGTGACCGACTATGACCGAGGAGCCCGCGGGCTCGCGCCGCCGGCCCGAGCAAGGGGCCGYGAGGAAGCAGCGACCGTCCCGGCGCCGGCCCCGGGCCTCAGAGCCACAGGCCGTCCCAGGGCTTGGGGGGCGCGGAGCAGGGGCAGGCGCCGGGGGGCTCGGCCGCGCGGACGCGCTGGAAGAGCCCGAGGAGGAGGGAGTGCTCACCGCTGAGCGCGTGCTCCGTCATGCTCAGGCACAGGGACTCCAGCCGGTTGTTGATGTCGGGCTCCGTCACCGGCACCGGGAACTCTGCGGGGGAGAGACACGCGGGTCAGCGGAGCCTCCGGCGCTTTCCGCTCCCTCCAGCCCCTCGGCACAGCCCGAAGGAGCAGGGTCGGCCACAGCCGGTCCCGCAGCGCYGCCGAGCTGGCCCGGGGCTCCGGGCACCGCCTCAGGCTGGAGAAGCCTGAGTAAGAACCGCGCTCGGATCCCCCGCGGAGCTGTGTCCCAGTGTCCCCACCGAGCAGCATCCCAGCGGAGCAGCGTCCCAGTGTCCCAGCACCCCCACGGAGCCGCGTCCCAGCAATAAGGTGTAAACAGGGCGGCTCCGTGGCAGCGCACAGATGGAAGCAGCAGGTTTAGATGGAGAGTCCGGGCTCAGATGCCCCGGGAAGGGTCTGTGCCCACAGCTGCTGCAGGAGGGAGCCACGAGGGGCGAGCGGGCCCTGGGCTGCGGGCGGCAGCGCAGGCGACACAAGGACCTCCCTGCACAGCCTGGCGGGTGGCTGGGAGCAGGCTCCCGGTCCCTGCCGGGAAACGTTCCTGTTTCCTGCTCGGAGACGCTCCTGTTTCTTGCTGGGAGATGCTGCTGTTTCTTGCTGGGAGATGCTCCCGTTCCTTGCTCAGAGATGCTCCCATTCCGTGCTGGGTGATGCTCCAGTTTCCTGCTTGGAGACACTCCTGTTCAGTGCCAGCCGACACTCCCTTTTCCTGCTCAGAGACTCTCACATTTCCTGTTCGGAGACGTTCTGGTTTCCTGCTGGAAGACGTTCCCTTTCCCTGCTCGGAGATGCTTCGGTTCCGTGCTGGGAGACACCCCCTTTCCCTGCTCGGAGTCGCTCCTGTTCCCTGCTCGGAGTCGCTCCGGTTCCTGCAGGCGGTCAGGCTGCAGTGCGGGCATCGCGCGGGGCCGCTGCGGCGCTGGGAGAGCAGCACAGACCATGGGAGGGCAGCACAGACCGCAGCCGTCCCCGCTGCCCCTTCCTCGCGCTCCACGGAAGCGGCAGCGGGAAGGAGGCCCCTTCCAAGGGTTCCCGGCGGGAAGGAGGCCCCTTCCAAGGGTTCCTGGCGGGAAGGAGGCCCCTTCCAAGAGTTCCTGGTGGGAAGGAGGCCCCTTCCAAGGGTTCCCGGCTCTGCTCCGTTTCTCCCACTCTCCCAAGACGCATTTTAACCTGGGCTCAATCCGTCCGTAACCACAAAGCCCCCCAGCATTTCCTTAAATACCCCCAGCGCGGTAACCGATACGCACCCCTGCTTCAGGTGGTATTTCAGCCCCTGGGACAAGCCCGTTTTGGTCCTGGTTTTAAATAGCGCACACGTGTGGAGCCAAAGCCAGGCCTTGGAGCAGGCAGGAGGCGCCGCAGCAGCCTCGGCCTCGGGGCTGCGTCTGGATTTGGGCAGGGCCCCCCAGGCTTCCCCCTGCTCTGTTCAGGCAGGAACTGCTTGCAGAGGTGCTGCCGAGCACCAGAGCTCCCTCGGGGATTTCGTGCTTTGGGGGCTCCCTCTTGCTCGACCCTCAAGGGAGACCTGGCCACAGGGAGCTGCTGGCCTCACTGGCCAGGCTGTGGAACGCGTGTCCTGGCRCGTGGTGATCCGTGACGCTGCCCCGTGTCCCGCCTGATGTCCGGCTCCTCCGGGATCACCTCTGGGATCATCAGCACCGTTACACCCAGAGCACAGGAACCCCTGGGGCTTCGCTGCGGCCCGGCTGCGTTTCGGCCCCGCCGCTTCACCGGGGCGCTCGCTTTACCTGTTTGTGCAGCCCTGCCTACCCCTGGCGAGCATGAAAGGCTTCATTCAGCCCTGTTTACAAAGTCTGGGGCGACCCGGGAATGCCAAGGGAGAGGGAGCCTGGCACCATGCTATTGCTTGGTTTCCTTGTGACTCTGTCGGTGTGTTTGGCGACGCCGCTCCGGACCCCTCTCCAACCCTCGCGCGCCGCAGACTGACACAACAGGCAGAACKGCTTGTTCTCCTTCAGCACCCGCAGAATCGTGTCGCTGTTTAGCCAACAAAAGTTGACTTTTCTTGATTTTTAGTCAAGAAAAGGTATTTGCCACTTGAATTTGCCAGCTAAAACACTGCAGACAGGACACAYGGAGTGAAGGGAATGGCCAAGCTGAAGCCCTGCTGGTAGCTCATGAGTGGGATGTAGTTTTACTGGTTCCCTGTTCCCAATACGAGTCGCTGCAACAAGCACAACAAGTAAGAAAAGCCACGTGCAGGAGGCTGATGAAGTGCTGCACAGAGAAAACAAGCGCCAGCATGCCCGAGGGGAGGAAGGTCACTCTGTAGGGTTTAAGTTCGGCCAGAAATTCCCCCAAATCACAGGATGCTCCAGTYCACGGGAGCATTTTGGAGGTGTTCGACACATAAGCAGGAGGCATCAATAAGGCAGGATTTGCCTAAATGTGCATTACAAACAGAAACCCCCTCCAGTGTCTGAAGCCACTTCCTCCCCACCGGCTCTTCCAGCCCCTGCACAAACCAAAAAGGTGACGGAGGAGCCGCAGCGCCGCCCGGGTAACATAAAGCCTCTCCGAGGGAAGCTATGTAAGGCACTAGCACAGTGGGGATGTTATATATAGGGTCAAAATCCCTCCGGTGATGTCTCCTGCTGAATCAATCCAGTGATCTGACTAGCGTCAAAAATATCCCGCGCGGATGGCGAGGGCCAGGGCTGGCGCAGCCGGACGAGCTGGCACCGTTTGCAGGAGGGCAGCCCGGCGAGGAGCGCGCAGGGTCCCCGCGCGGCTCCGCGGGCGCCCCAGGGGCTCCCTGGCAAACACGGGGCACCCCCTTACCTGGCTGCTGGAACATGAGCATGGTCTGCGGGGAGGTGTGCACGGGCAGCGAGCGCGTCCTCTGCACCGAGCTGTGGCTCCGGCTGGGCATGCTGTTGCTGCCGCCRGGGTTGGCAAACCACAGGTTCTGCAAAGGGAAGGAGCACAGGGGCTGTGAGAGACAAGCAGAAGCGGGGTCCGTTTATCCCGTTTCGCCCCCATCGYGGCCCGCGGCCACGGCGCGCGCTGCCCTTCTCCCTCCCGGCTCCGCCGTCCCCTTCCCGTCCCGCCGCGCGGCGCGGCCAACAGGAAATGCCTGCACGCTGCTCTCACCGCCCGCGCTCGCACAAACAAGCCGGGCAGCGGCTCCGGCCGCGCCATTCCCGTCCCGTCCCCGCACGCACACTGACCTGCCGGCCTGGCTTGAGGATGGCGGGGCCGGCGGCGGCGCCGCGCTGCGCCGGGCCCAGCAGCCCGCCCGGCCCCAGCAGCCCCAGGCGGGCGCCGGGGAGGTTGCGCGAGGGGATCTGGAATTGCCGGGGGTTCCGCCTGCCCATTCCCGCGCCCGCAGAGCCAGCTGTCGGCAGGGAGTTCGACTGGCCGAAGCCTCGGCTGCGGACAAGGGAGAGACGCGGGATGAGGGGCGGGAGGAGGTGCCGTGCGCAGGAAGCGGCTCCCGGGTGAAGCCCTCCGGGGTGAATCCATGGGCTGCCCGGCCAGGCCTTCCGGATGCGCCGGGGATGGTTTTTGGATATGAAAAGTTCCGGTGGTGACAGCCCTGCCAGCAGGACCGGAGCTTTCCCRGCACATCCAGGCGCCTCCGTTCATCCCTGGCCACAGCCAAGCACTGGCCTCAGTGCACCGACCTCAGCCATCCCAAAGTGGGATGTGGGCTGGATACCCCAGCCCTCCCACCCCACCGAGGATGCTCCTTCACCCTCATACACCAGGAAAGGGGAGGCAGCGGTCTGGGCATCCCTCTCCTTCCCATCTAAGAGTTCTATCATCCCCTTAAAGCACCTTTCTCCCTTTCTAAAAGACTCTTTTTCACCAAATTTCTGTGCCYGCAGCCCTCTCCTGGATGTCTCGGCTTCTGTCAGATCTGGTTCAAGTTAGTTAGCAAGTCCAAAATTAGCCATTTTTGGCCTGAGGGACTGAGTGAAAGGCACCCGTGCGCACATGCAGGATATGGTCACATAAACCTCTCTTTCTTATAAAACGAGCTGAAAAAGAAAAGGAAAACCCAAGCAGGAGCTGGTGAAAGGAGACGAGGTCCTGCTGGGTGAGCGGTGGCCTTTGCCTTTCCCCTCTCCCTCTGTGTTCCTGCTCGAGCAGCTATTGCAAGAAGGCATTAACGTACCGCCTTCCCCAAACAGGACAAATTTAGGCAGAAGTGCAGTGGAGTTTCTTTAAACCTCAGCCTAAAACATGGTCTTGCCATTAAATCCTCCGAGCGCTGCGCGGGAAGCAGAGCTGGCCGTGGGGTCTGCCCCACTGCAGCTTCCCGGGGAGCAGGAGCACYGGCTCCCATTTGCTTTGGGAAACAGGGAAGCTGCTGCACCCACTGCCCGGCCACGGGTGTCACTCTTGCCAAAAGCAGCTATGGAAAATCCGGAGCAACTGGATGCTCCACTTGGCATCCAGAGCCGGCACCGGCTTCGGAGCAACCCAACCGAGTGGCTCCGTTGGGAACCCTTTGCTCTCGTCTCTTCTCCTTCTCTCCCTTCGGAGAACTCGCTCAGGATGTTCATCTCCTGAAATTTAATTAAATTTCACTGGGGAAAATTCCAGCTCGGCACTCATGGCTTTTGCATCCCTTTTGAATTTAATGCCTTGCTTTCCCAATACTCCCAGTCATTTCCAGAATACTTTTTGAGGAAAAAAAATGAGGAGAAGAAAAAAAAACTGCACCAGATTGCAACCAAATATACTAATCGCAATGAAAAGAAAACAGCCCAAGTTATTGTTTAAGCTAATTAAGGAAACCTGCTCTGGAAATAACCCAAATTTTCCCAGGATCTTTAGAAATTCTGCTTTATCTTGGAAGTGAGTACACGGCATTCGTACCACAGCCCTACCAAGGGTTTTCTGAGTGCAGTGCCCAGGTCTCTGCACTTTGTGCCGCCTTCAGACCTCGGCGTCTGTTGATTTTGTTTTGCTGAAGCTTCGGCACTGACCTGATGAACACCGGGCAGCGGAGCTGGCAGGGATGCGAGCAGACGGGCGAGGGATGCGGGAGATGGCACAGCTGGGAAATGCCCAGGGAACATCCACCCCTGGAGACACCCAGAGCCAGGGGGACAGCCCGGTGACACCCGGAATGGGAACCAGGAGCGGGGACAGCTCCCAACCGGAGGGCACTGCCGGCCCCAGGGCCCACGTGGCACCTACCTCCTCTGCTGCCGGTAGCCTGACAGCTCCAGGAGGGATTTCCGAGGGAAAGACCTRAAGAGTTTTTGCACCTGCTGTTTCCATGACAACAGTCTTTTCTTCTGTATCTCTGTAAACGCCTGCCGGAAAAGAGCGACAAACAGAAAACGTGAGTGTTTTGGCAGGCAGGCACCGGAGGATGCGCACGGGGGCCGGTGTGCAGCCCGGCGGCAGAGCACCCGTGCCCAAAGTGGGGCGGTTTTAACCCCTCATGCTTTTTAATCCCTCATGTTTTTTAACTCCTCATGTTTTTAATCCCTCATGATTTTAAAAAATCCCTTGGTGGTGCTGAGGGCTCCCATGCGGAGGCAGCGGTGCTGAGCCTGGCACACCTTGCTCCAAGGCATCTCCGGAAAAACCTGCCTCTGTGTCTGCCCCGCGCTGCCGATGGGCTTCTCACCTGCAGGCAGCTCTGGAAAATACTGCTGGGGATGGAAAACGAYGGGATTCGGGAAGCGGAGCAGCCTCCTCATCCCATCCCGCTCGGCTCTGTGCACGAGGTGGCAGAAGGTCCCTCAGCACAGGGGACACGTCTRAGTCGTGCAGGGCCCACAGGCGAGCGGTGCCGGTGCCGGGGCATCCACGTCACCACCACGCGCCAAAACCAACTTAGACACCCGGTTTCCCGGAGGAGAGGAGCCGAGGCCTCCAGGGGACCTTCCAGAGGATGATTGTCCCCTGCTCCCTTCGACCTCTGGAGGGACTGAGTCCTCCTTGTGTTAATCACGAAGGAACCAACGCAGGCGGCAATGCAGCGGGGTGAAAACCCAGTGTCCAACTGCTTCAATTTGATCCCAGACTATCTGTGAGCTTGGCCCCTGCATCGATGTGCTGAGCTCTGCAGCCCGGCCTGAGGCCCTGCAAAGAGCTCCACTTCCTAGGCCCTGGCTTAACTTCCTAGGCACCGGTTCTACTTCCTAGGCACCGGTTCCACTTCCAAGGCACTGGCTCCACTTCCAAGGCACCGGCTTCACCTGCAGGCAAAAGGGGCTGGGAACTTCCCTGCCTCCCTCCTCTGCCTCTGGCATCCCACGCAGCTCAGGGTTTGCAAATTGCTCCCAGGCCTCTCGAGAGGAGATGTTTTTTGTGCTTTGACAGCGCGTATTTTCTTAATAAACAAACACCCGAGAAGCATTTACAGCCTGCAGCTCTGGTGAGGTGTTTTGCAAGCGTCCCCCTGACATGCGGGTGGACAACGTGAAGCAGCTCGTGCTGCCGGCTGCAGCCAGCACGGGGCAACCGCTGCAGGACACGGGACACGGGGCTGCTCTCCCGTCGCCCCCAGGCAGCTCTCTGCACACAGAACCCAGCAGTTATCCGAAACAGATGCGCAAAGGGGAAAAAAAAAGAGGAGGCAAGTTGCAAAATCACARAACATGTGCTGCGAAACGGAGCCTAGAAATGCCAAGCGATCGTTTGGGCTGTCTGATAGAAACAGCATGCACATTCGCCCCGGGATTCTCTTTCATCCAGCTGCTGCTGAGGCCGTTCTGAGCGGGACGCGCTCCGCCGCTCCGCGTCGTTGCAGCTAAGCAGGCGCAGGGGGAGCGGCGGTTTCTGCGCACCAGATTGGATTCACCGCCCGCTCCGGGCCTGTTCTCTGAGAATTACTATTAATACCCCCCCAAATATTTGTGTTAGAAACCCAAATGTTTACACAAACAGACACGTTGGAAACAGTCTCTAAGTGATGGGAGAACAACAGTTTTATGAGGTCTGTCACGACTCACCTCGTGAATTAGACACTTGTCTATGAGYTGTAAGTAGGAACTTATATTCTCTTCATCGGGTCTGGAAACTAGAAGCTGTGTGCACACTGGAAAAAAAAGGAGGAGAAAAAATAAACAGGAATGTGGATACCGAGCTGAGATCAGGGCTTTGGGGTTTTTAAGGAATGTTTCGRACATCCTATTTCACTTATCTGAGAGATGTTCTCATCAATGGGTCATTTGTCTAGGAAAAACACCCTGCCCCGATTCCTGCCGTGCCTTTCTATATTTAGGGCCAGCTTTCCTTCTCGGTTATGCTGGTGTAAATCCAGAGTAACACCATTTAAGTCACCAAAATTAGACGCGAGCAAATGAGGAGCGCGGGATCTTGCCCCCCTTTCCCTTTTCCCGTTGTCCTGGGCAAACGGCGCTGTCAGCGGAGCACCGGCCTCTAAGATCTATGACTCCCGTGGCCAAAATTTGCCCCCACTGGAAATGGATTCCCGCAGCTATCGATGACAGCAGGGCTTTAGCCTCCTTCTGAAGCAGTGCCATAAAAGCAAGTGCWAATGAATGCAGAGGGGACGGCCGCGAGCAGAGAGTCTCTCCTGCTCCRGGAGCGCGGGCGGGAGCTGCACAAAGTTCCTCTCCCTGCGGGGCAGTGTCGCCTGCTCCCGAGGGAGCTGAACGGACACGGCTCCATGGGATGGCCCCAGGGAGCACCTGAGAAATGYGACACCAAATGTGTATATGGAAGACACTTTTTCATGCAGTTTTATGAAAAATGACTCTTTGTATATGCTTTGTGGGAAGGGTCTGACATTGGGGCAGGACTGACCATTTTTTCATGGCAAACCGACAGGTCTCCATCCAGCCTGCAGATGACAGTGTCTCCTCCTCTCTTCACCAAGGAGATCTTCCTCCATGCACGAAGCATCTACCTTGCAGATCCCAGCTAGCATTTAGCACTAGCTTTAGTCCCCAGCACTACAGTTAGTGCTTAAACTCACCCAGAATTGCCAGCACCACCCTGTACACGGGATGTGAAGAGAGCCCCTATCTGCACATTCCTCCTGTTTACCTCCCCGAGGGGCACACGACACCGTGATGGTGGTTTAAGCCCAATGCCAAGCACTGCAGCAGCTCCCTTTGACAGGCACGGGACAGCAGCAGGCCACTCTGGATGTCCCGTGTCTAAAATGGGACTTAAAAGAGACCTTGGACCTATCTGATTTGACTCATTCAAAGCAAGCTGAGATCTTTAAGAGGTCTTCAGTGCTGCCCTCCAGGCCCTCAACCTTGCAAGCCAAAGCAGAGCCATTAAAAAGCAGAGCAGCCCAAGAGCAGCACTTACACCCTGCTCCATCCCTGCCTCCAGGGTTATTYGCTTCCAACCCCATCCCGGCTCCACGGCACCAAACTCAGGCTGCGCTTATCCCAGATGTGGGCAGCAACCCAAAGCCAACGCCGCTCACCTTTCCCCATGACTCGTGTGAACTGGCCGGGCAGGTCTCCCTCGGGCAGAGGGGCGCCCCCGGACTCGCCCTCGCAGCCSGGCAAGTGGTGCTGCTGCAGCCCCCCCACCGCAGGCTCCTTGCACTCGGGCCCCTGGCCCTCGGAGGCCAGCAGGGAAGGCGGGTGATGCGGGTCCGCGTCGCGGCCGTGCTCGTCCGCGCTGGCGTTCTGGGAGCAGTAGGCTTTGATGGGGGTGAGGATCATTTGGTGCAGCTCCTGCAGCGGGACGCGCAAGTTGCCGCCTTCCAGGATGTCCTGCGGATTCAAGCAAGAGGAGGGGATTTGCAGTGAAACCTCTGCAGTTACAACAGCAGTTACAAAACAGGTCAGCACCCTCGGTCCTTGGGAACRACCTCCAGCGAAGCCAACCGCCTCGCTCCTACTGTAGGACTCTGCTGTTGTCCCTATTCCATAACCGTGTTCAACTCCCCGAGCCTTTTGCTTAGACCACGAGGTGAAACCTGGAGCCTCACATGTGAAGGTTCTGCAGCCACCACACCTGACTACCATGGACATGATCAGACCTCAATTCCTGGAGACCATGCCCTACAAACCAGTGGCCCAGGACTGGGGACAGTCCAGGTTCAGAGTTTCCAGGCTCTCACCAGAAGGACAGAAACTCCATGGCAGCAATGGACCCAGGGAGATTTCAAAGCCCTAGCCAGCCATGTCTTGCTCCTTCCCCTGCAATGCCACAACAGTTCATGACATTTCAGTCCTTTCCAAGCTGAGCCATTCTTTCTAACATGGATTTGTCTCTAGCTTCYGCACTGGCCCTGCAAAACTGCTTTGCCCCAAAGTGCCTGCAAAAATTTCACTGTGTGCYGAGATGACCATTGCAGAGCTCCAGGACATGCTAGAACAAGGCAAGGTCTTCAAAGGGGACACAAGAGTGTGGACAGCATTCAAATAAAGGTTTGTCTGTAACAGGCTTTGCCAATTCACGCCATCAAAGTGCAAACAGGAGCAGATGGAAACAGGTGACACTGATACCAGCAGCTCCTTCAAAAGGTTGGGAGACCCTGGAGAAAGTTGGCTGAAGCCAGAAAAGGCTCCATATTTTGGAACATTTGGACAATATCTGAGAAGAGGGATCCGGAAGACTTTGCAGCCCTGAGCGGATAACCAAGAAAGAGCAGATTGTGCATAGATAGGTAAAGGTCTGAGCAGGAAAGCGGTCTGAAGAGGTGACTGCAAACCATTGGGCTGAAGGCTGCAGGCAGAGGTAGGAGAGGTGCCTCGTGGCACCTCTCCTCGAATTAACTTGAATTAACTTCTGCTTTGAACTAACCCCCACGGGCTACGGACTGAGAGTCTCTGGAAGATTTGCCCTGGTTTTGTTTCAGTTTTGAACAAGAGAATTAGATTCGTGTCTCTGCTGACCATGGAACGTGGCCGGAGGGCCTGTCCCAAACACACGTCAATGGTATGAACACAGGAGGAGCAAATAAAACATCTCCATATTCGTCACTGGGTGACCCCACRGGTCCTTGGCTCCATGTCATGATTTTTTAGCACCTGACACAGCTTTCATGCACTGCTGGAAATGTTGGAGGGAGCAGCAGAGTAATCCAGGCCATAAAAGATGTAGGGGCCACAGGAGGCTTGTTTGGTTGGAGGAAGGCTGGTTATGGGGAAGGATAAGCAATCTCCATCACTGTCCAACACCTTTATGTAGATCCTGTCCCTGAGGACAAGGGTGGGTGGTCCTCCTTGGGCACATCTCCTGCTCTGCTATTTGAGGCCACAGCAACCATTTCTTTCTGTGGTTAGAAACCAGTCTGGCCCTCCTGCCTCAGGGAAAGGCTGGTCAGAATTGTACCAGGATTTACCTGCAGCGTGGTGAAAAACTGCTCCTKAGGTCTGGCTCAAGCTGCTTGTGAGGCACCACTTGGTAAGAGGCAGCTTTTTGGGGATGAGCTCGGATGGCATCGATGGAAGAGACCCAAAGTGGACACAGGGGCTGTGCACAGGGCAGGTTAAGCACTGAAATCACTGCTTACTCCCCCTAATTCCTGCTGCACCCCCAACTCGCTCTCAGATGTCCCAAATTGACTTCTTTGGTGACACAGCATCAGTCTGCCGGGCACTATCACACTTGGGGGATAAATCCTGCTTGGCTAACTGGTAGGAAGGGTGGGGCGGCTCTTTCCAAGAAAGAAGGAATCTTTAGCAGTTAGACTTTGCCCAAAAAAATCAAGTCACACATAYGCTCTTGTTTAGCTTAAAAAAAAAAACAAAGAGGGGGGAGAAATTGGATGAAAAACTTGGAAAAACAGAGACGTAACCTCCCAGGAAAACCAGCCCAGAGGCAGCTCTGAGCCCCACGGTCTTCTCATTATATGGCCACAGCTCCATACCCAAACCTGCCCCATCAAGCTGGTAGTGAAAAGCAGATCCTGTCACTTATCTCCCCTTATTTTACAGTGCACGTGGCCCATTGAGTCAGCTGGATTTGGCTTGCATTCCTGCACTGAGACAGTCAATCAATACCACATTTCAAAATCTATGCAGAGAAGCTGAAGAAATTGCCTGGAAAACACATCWGCGGAGAACGCTCAATCCAGGGGGCTGTCTCTCGCATTTAATAGTTATTATTAATGTACAGAGGTAAATATGGCTTTATTAGCTCCTGCCATACCCTGAGTACAATCCCATATTATAAATAAATAGCAAAGCAGTGAGCTAACGAAAACACCAATAAATAGCATCGCACCACATAAGTATTTAAAAGCCCCTAGTGGGAGGCTCTGCAAGTTGCTGTTTGAAGAAAGTTCAATTAAATATAATATAATATTGCAATAACAAATAGTGAGAGGTTGGGCGAGCTGCTCCCAGCAGGTTTGTGGTGCTGGTGCTTCACTGAGAGCCATTTTGGCAGAGTTTAAGCCTTTTTTTGTGTTTTTTTTTTWATGGGACAAGAAGTTTCTATTTGTTGTCTTTGGGAAGACAAGCTGCCCATAGAGCCTTCCCAGGGGTTAAAGTGCTGTGACAGAACAGCACCTAGATGCCCCCTACAACAGGACGGGCAAATGAAGCTCAGCACAGGGGTGAAAATTTGCATCCCGAGGAGTTCAAGCACTGGCTTACTCGCCTGCAGGAGGTCCTGACATTGTCACGGTTTGGAGTTCATTTTGCTGCCAATCACTTTCGGCAGAGGAACCTCTGAGCTTCATAAATAAACACAAATAGCTCAGAGAGGGTGTAGGGCAAGTGGCATCTTTGCCCTCTGATATCCTCAAAAATAGGATCAAGTCTTAGGAGCAGCAGGGATGGGTTTTATGAGCCTGTCTGGCTCAGAAAGATGGACAGGATTTCCCTTGCAAGGGGCAGGCACAGCAGCCATCCCGGGAATTAACATCCCGGGAATTAACCAGCTGCTGCCCAAGGGCTGCCCCACGGCAACTCTGTGGGCACCTGGCTCCCAGCCAGGGGATATTTGGCCTCGTGGTGTGTGCAAAGGAGGATGGATGTCACCCTAGATAAGGTGACTCCCCTAAACCACCTCGCCTGCAGGCATGAGCTCCATGGCAGGCAGCTGCCATAATCCCACTGCTGGTCACCCATCAACGGGATTGTTCCCACTGATTAACACGTTGCCAGCCCTCCAAAAACTCACCTGGACACTCCTACCCTACCTGTGCCAGCCCAGAAGTACCACAGCTGGTGCCACACCATGGTTGAGAGGCTGGGGACAGCACCGCCACCAGCATGGCCCACAGCGTGCCCTCCATCAGCTAGAACTTTGGATGCTTTCCATGCAAAGTGGGAAGTGAAAGCAGCCCAACAGCAGCAGCCCCAGAGCCCAGGCAGGAAACACTGTTCCCAGAGCATAACACTGGGTTATGCTCTGCTTTGGGGCTTTTGGTTTTTATTTGCAGACTTCTTTGACTTTAAGGAATCAGTATTTGCAAACAATATTGAGCCTGGATGCAAAACAAAGCCACGTTTGCCTTTTCCAGTGCAGCTCTAGCAAGTGGCCAGGGTGGTGTTCACTCCCTGCACCGGCCCTTCCTGGGGCTGGAAGCACTCTGGAGGCCCTGCTGCCCATTTCCTCCCCCCAAAACACGGGAAGAGGCACAAAAAGCAGGATGCAGGTTGGAAATCTCAGCTGCTGGGCTTCAGCAGGACTTGCATGCGCTGCTGCTCTGCAGCAGTTTGGACTAGGACTCACTCATTAGGGCTCACAGCTCCAAATAAAAACTGTGTCTGGCACAGAGCTGTTTCAAGACCCCACTCAGATGTGGCCAAGCCAACAATAGATTTCCATGAAGAAAGTACCCAGGAACACGCGTAAGGAGAGTGCTCTACCCCGGGATTAATTCTTGGCTATTGTTGCAATTGAAAAAGGAGAAATGTAGAAATGTAAGAACTTACCCTTTCTAAAGATTTGAGAAGGTTTTGTCTCTCTTTTAGCTTTTGGATACTGATGACTATTTTGTGTCTTGCGCCTTTGGTAACGTTCTGCAAAAACAGCATATAACCCAGCATTAGCATCTCCACAGGACACTGGGATGAATCAAAGCCCTTTCTCTCCTCAATGAAAAGAGCTGCTGTAAATTAATCAAACTCTCAATGCAGGGATTAGCRGAGGACACAGAAAATCACTTAGAAACATTGCCGAGATACAGATTTGCTGCCAGGCTGTCCCTCCCCTGGAGCATCTATCTTTATAAGYGCTCGCAAGGGGAAGGTGGCTTCTCAGCTGCTTTGGGGAATGGTTTTAAAATCTAGTGGGGGATTTTAAATCTGAGAAGAATCTGGTTTTAGTGGCAGGTTTCAAGCAACKCTTTGCAGCGTGGCTCTGCTCTGGTACAAACCCAGCGGACCCAGCACGCAGGCCTGGAGTTACTTCGCTGGAGATGGGGAAACTAAGACCACTTAAGACAGACCCTTCAGCTTTTAAGGCAGACTGAGCAATTTGGTTTCTTTCTGGCTAGATGCCAGTGTCTGGTGAAGCCTCTGAGTACCACGAGAGGCTTGAAAAAATGGAAAGCTCAGTGATAACAGGGAAATCATCTGAGCAGCAGGAGGAACCTGCAGCAGGCAGCCCACAAACCTCCCGTCCTGCAGCAAGGCTGCTCCAGCCCCTTGTGCAACGCGGGCTTCGGGGATCGCAGCTCAGAGGGAACTACCAGCAGATGCAAATAAGGACTCTGCAGAAGCTGGGAATTTCCTCCAATACGAAGCCCGGGACAAGGTCTCTTTCAGGTACAATGTGTTTTTTTCCGCTCTCCTCAGACTCAATTTTCCTTTTCCTGTTTGTCTTTCAGCCCTCTGCAAGCGAAACGCATTCCACGCGCAGCCGTAACGGGAGGTTTCCAGGGCAGCTCGTCCCCCAACTGAACAAACAGCGTGTTCCTAGCAGGGACGAGGGCAGCACCGGCTTGACGAGCGACCGCAGACGTACTTGTGCCTCGAGCTGGCATTCGGTGAGCGCCATCATCTCCTCGTATGTCATCTGAGAGAAGAGCGCCGCGTACTTGTGCAGACGGAGGCTCTTCAGCCAGGCTGGAACATCTGCAGCACAAAGGCACAGAGACAAGAACAGCCTTTTATTTGATGACACTGTTTAACGACACCCGATAAGATCAACAACGGCACGAGGGCTTCCTTAGGCACCGGCCTCCTCCTCGTGCCAGCGGCTGCTGGCTGGACTATAAGGGACTGCTCAGAGCAAGTGAGCTCATCTGTGGATCCATTGGCTTTGGAAGCCTCTTTATTCAAGCACTATTACTTAAATCGGTGCTACACCCAAGATAAATGGTATAGAAAAAATTGTATGAATTTGTTCCAGGGGTTGTAGCAGCCAAGGCAGAGCGGTGGATTCAGGCTCACTAGTGTACACTGAGCCTGGCTTAGAGCAGGCCGGAACAAAACTACTTCAAACGTCATTCTGGCCTTAGAATAGAGCTGAACGTAAAGAAAACATCCTTGCTAGAGCAGGAGAAAATGAAGACGACTGAGAGCAAGGATTATATATATGCACATGCACAGGACASTGCATGATCCACCACGACTGCTAAGATTGATGCTGAAGCAGCTCAACAGCAGCTTGAAGGCTGGCTTAGGCTCCAGTTGTGGATGGTCGAGGTTGGTAACGCCCCATGGGGAATGAGCTTTGGGTCTGCAAACTGCCCCAGCCCYGGCAAGCTTTTAACTGCCTTTATCTCTAGCAGGTGGAAATTGCAGAAACTACTGACTGGGATGAGCTGAGCATGAAAAAACGTCTGTTTTGCAGACAACACATACGGCTTTTTGCCACGAGGGAGGATGGTATGGGCTCAAAATTTAAAGAGCTGCCTGAAGGGAAATAAAGTGATTCTCATTTTACTTTAAATGTGGAAAAAATGGCATGTCATAGAAGATGGTTCTGCAACCCTGCAAGCCAGGACCACCGAACGCACTGAGATGGCTTCCTTCCCTGTTGCTGTCTGCAACGCTGGAGGGATGCTCCTTATACACCTTTATTCTCCGGGCATCAGTGTGGTTCCACCACATCCTGCCTCTGCAACATGAAAAACTTCATATAAGGGGGAGTGCAGGGGGAGAAAAAATGGTGCTGAAAATTGTCTACCCTTTCAGCTACACCTTGGAGCAGTCTGTGCCAAGAGGTGTCGTGTCTCTTTGTACATCCTTATGTGCAACCAACAGCAACCAACAGCCTCCTGTATCCAGTGCAGATAGAAAGTGCAAGGACGGGCACGTTTGGATCTCAACTCCATTTCGACAAAAACTCATTTCAATGATGCCACCTGAGAAGCAGTGCCTGATCCACKGTCCCCCAGGAACATCTGGGTTTGCTGCTCCTATATGTTGAAAGCAGCATCTGCAGAGACGGTGGGACCTCACGCATGCAACAAGCCCTGCAGAAAAGCCAGTCCCAAACGCCCAGGGCCAACCCCCCAACTTTTGGTGGTGCCACCAGCCCTATGAGACAGCTAGGGGAGAGGGAGTCACCTTGATGCACAGCAACTGCAGGGCTCTTTTTCTCTCCTGCAAGGAAAAGGGAGGCCTTTTTTAAAGTGATTTCATGGTCCTTGGAAAGTCAACCTGCAGGAGGCAGCCATTACTTCCTAATGATCCCTGCAGAGCAACGAGCTACTCTGTACGCGTACGGAGCTACCCGTTAGTCACCTATTACTAGGACCTAATTGCTAAATCAGGGCATAATTGTCAGAAATACTGCGCCTAATGCTAGCTGCAAGACGAGGACTTCCACGCTATCCCTGTGCCTCTTAAATGCGCCAAACGCCTGAGTTTTGCCAGCAGGCAGGCATCTGTTTGCTGGCACGGAAAGGTCTGGAGGAAAACAGCTCACCCTGCAGCCACCAGAGACGTGGGGACATGTTCAGGAGCACCTGGAGGGCACAATACATCCCAGCCCGGCCCAACCTGCTGCTAAGCGCAGTCCAAGCGCCCGCGGTGCCAGCCAAACCCTGCTGCACAGGTACTGATGTTGAGGTGACTCTTGAGCCGCCTTCCACAAACAGGGAAGGGACAAGAAATCTCTGAACTCGTCTCCGTCAGCCCTTCGGAGCAGGGACTTTCTTTAGTGCTGTTGAGCGCTGCATCTACGTGAGCATCAACGACCCCGTCCCGAAACATGGGACGGGCAGGGACAGATGATGTGTTGGTCATACACTGTCCCCTGCCATGCCCACGCTTTGCAGCGACAAGGCTTTGATGCTCCGTGACACACACAAGCTCCCAGAAAGAGGATGGTGACACTACGGGAGGCAAATGGCAAAACGGGGAGAATTTGTGATGCTCCGTACAAGACTACCGTGGGTCCAGGWTTAACCACTGTCTTCATGGATACCCTGGAGGATGGGAAAGACAACAAGCTTATTAAAGGTGCAAGATGACAGTGAGCTGTAAGAGCCTGCGGGCACTTTGGAAGACAGGCCTGGAATTCAGGAGGATTCTGGTAAATGGAGAGAGCAGCCCCGATAAAATTAGATGCAATGCAATGAAAATGCACCAAGTTGTGCATTTCTGGAGGAACCTGCCCAAACGAGGCGCAGGGAACAGGCAGTGCCTCCTGCAGAACAGATCCGGGGCACAGTGGATCGCASAGAACCAGCAGCATGGGGTCATCTGCAAACCACGAGCAATGCACTGATGTGCTATGAGTAGAGCCCATTTAAATGGCACAGGAAACCACTTGTGCTGGATCGGCTCTGGTAAAGCTGGACTCCTGAACCCAGCTTTGGAAAACCTGCCTTCAGAAAGGTATGGACCTTCAGGCAAGAGCCTGGAGCAGAAGAGCAAGGACAAAGCCAAAGTCTAGAAAAAAACAACCTGTGAAGGAAGAATGGATGAACTAGACTGGTTCAGTGTGAAGAGGATGCAGCTGTGGGGAACGGATGCAACAGTCTTCAAATATGAGGCTGTAGATGGGAAAGGAACTGTCACTTTTGCCTGTTCCCTGGGACACTGGTAAAATCAGCCACATGGGCAATCAAGGTTAGGTGCTGGTAAGGGTAGTGGTAGGAAGGGTAGTGAAGCACGGAGCCAGGAGCCTGAGGAAGGGCAGAAGGGAGAAAAGAGGGGGCCAGGGGCCAGGCAGGGGCTGAAGCCGCCTYGGGCAGGGGGCAGGGGCTCTCTCCAGGCCCCTTGCAGCCCCTGGAGCTCCGAGGGGCCGTGTGGAGGTGGAAGGGGCTTTGCAGAAGAGCCAGCAGCAGGAGCTGGGCTCTGGCAGGCAGCTGATTCCTCCCTGTGGGCACCCGTCGGGAAAGCTGTGCCCGTTTCCAGGAGAGGGGCAGCGGCCTGAGGGGGGTTCTGCTGGAGCAGGATTCCCTCCCTCAGCACAGGCCGTTTGCAGTACCCAAAAATAAGCTGGGAAACAGAGGCAGCGGCATGAGCCTCCTCTGCCACGCACCAGCACCCTGAGTGCACGGCCCGAGCCCCAGAAATCATGTGGGGAAAAGGATCCACACAGCAACGACTCGCACCCGGAGCTGCAGCTCTTAGTCCCGTGGAGCTGAGTCCCCTGCAGCCTCTTCCCCAGCTCTGGCAGCAGAAACCCGGCACGATGCAACGTGAGGCAGGCCACTCTGTGCCACCTGCCCACGAAAAGGCTCTCAGGGGATTGCAGGGCCGAGCCCTGGGTGCAGAAAGTCGGGCTGCCCCTTCACCCTTCTCCACAATTTCACTGACTCCTTCCCAAGTCCGTGCCCAAAGAGCTCTAGCCTGGAGGATGCTGGAGGGATGCATGAATCTTGCAGCACCTTCTCCCCATTGGGGCTGAGGATGGTGGGACGCGGGTCCCATGGGATGTGGGTCCACCAGAAGGTCCCTAGCTCTTCAGATCTCTAAGCAGCCTTAACCCTGGAGAGCAGAGCAGCTTAATTCACCTGATGGCTCCAGCTGGACTCCCAAGCCCGCCCAGCACTGACCGCACTAGCGGCCAAGGCAGGAAGARGGGCCAGGGATCCAGAGCAGCAGGGAGGATCCGGGTCCCCATCCGTCCCGCTCCTCACCCCAGCGGTGGTTCTGGGGCGYGACACTGTGCTGGCCTCGTGGGGACACCAGCCCACGTTCCCCATCTGCCCGCACGGGCCATGCCCCGCTGCCCGGCACACCGTGGCAGACCCACATTCCCATTGGGAAGCTGCAGCGGGAATCCCAAAATGCAGCATCTTGGAAGCACAAACACGCTGCCTCTCCTGGCCCTGCAGGCTGGAGCTCAAACACCCTGATGACCTGCTCGTTAGCGAGTGCACTGCAGGACTGGGTTCTCATTAAGGGTTTCATTTCTGCCTTATGTACCAACAGGACAAGGTCTCCTATTGCTAGAAGCCTCCGTGAAATGCAGGCACGATGGAAAAAAAACAACTGGAGAACGCAGGATAAATTCAATCTCTTAAGCCAAAAACTTCTCCAAGCGCTTGGTGGGTTTCCTGTCATAGCAGACACCGCAGTGATAGATCACACAGGGCTCACTGAACTTGCACTAAGCTATTTTCACCGTAAGAGAAAAAAGCAAGAAAGAAAAAGGAGAGCTCAGCTAGAAGCCACACACCGTGGAGAAAATYCGGCTGATGAGAAGCTTGCAGCATGTTGGGAAAAAAACAGGCTACGCAATGGAAACCACTGGGGTTCAGGAGCGTGGGACAGCCTGACACCCCCCCCAAAACCAACAGGTTCACACGGCGTTGAAGTGGTCGTGGCACTAAACGTGGCYGGGCTTTATGTGTATCTAGAGCTCAAGGTTCTCAAGGAGAAAACAAAATAATTGCCAGGAGTCAAAGCAAAAAACGGCATGTGAGGAAAAGGGCTCTTCCCTTCCCCGGTGTCACCCCAGGTGGTGCACGGGGGGCGAAGCCTCCTTTGGTGGCCGGGGTTGGGGTACAGGGGAGGTGTCTCGTTGTCACTCACCTTTCATCCCACTCCCTTCCTCCTGGAATGTGTTACGAGCGGAAGGCTGATCTTCTAAATGTTCACTCCCACCACTTCCCGAAGAGGCTACACTGCTTTGTGGAGACAGGGGGGCATGATCGGAAGGGATGCACTGGGGTCCTCTAGCTCGTAAGTCCTCATGAGACATCCATCCATGTCCTAGAGGCTGGTTTGGCACATTCATGGGTGGGGTAAGGGACACAGAGCGTTTCAAAGGGCTGTGGTGTGTCTGGCCTGAGAGAACTGAAAAAAAATAAAATCAAACAGGTTATTCCCCCCTCGCGTCCCGGGATGTAGCCCGAAAAACGTGGTTGTGGTTCCTCGGGGGGCCTGGCCACTCCGTCCTTGGGATCACCCGAGCCCTGCACTGACCTCCTCCTTTGGCCTGTTAGGGAGCAGCGGGGCAGGAGCACTTGGGTGGACGGCTGAGGGGGAAGGAACTGCACGGAGCCGCTCTCTGGCAGGAGCTGAGCGGCTGCTGAGGTTCTCCCAGGCATCCTGTGCACATTTATGTGCAGGGTCCCAGCGGAGCTGCAGGATTCCTGCTGCTGGGCAGAGGATTCCTGCCCCGGAGCCCAGGTCCTCATGGGCCCCACACAAACCACACGCTGGCACTTGCTCCGCTACGGCAGCTGCAACTTGCCCCACTGAGGTCATCTAGACCTGCATCCTGCCCCTGAGAGCATCCACAACCCAATGCTTCTGGGAAAGGCGTAGGAATTCCCAAGGGRACCACGGTGCCAGCACACACGGACCCACGGGAAGCTCCTCTCTACCTGCTTTGGCCAAGACATGGCTGGTGCCCTCAAGCACAAGGGTTTACCCCCTGCCTAACACAACCACGGAGGTACCTGCTATCCAGATTAATGCCTAATCTTTTCCAGCTCCCACGGAGCTCTTGGATTTGATGAGTCTATCGTTGGCCAYAAGAGCACCGGGTTGACGTGGTGACATGACCACGTTCAGTTGGTTTCTAACAAGTAACACCAGCAATGCTAGGCAGGTGCCCACTGTAACTCCTGTGATTTGGGACCAATTTTTGCAAAGCTATCTTCACGTGAAGGGGCATCTACCTGCCCTTCAGTGGCCCAGGGAAAAATTTATGTTTGCAAAGTATTAAAAAAAAGAAAAGAATATTTTATTCTTTTGACAGTTTTGACAGGAATGCTTAATCTTGAATATATCTTTAAATACAGCTCCTGTGGAGTGGCCTGAGCTTTATATCTCAGCCTACTCTTTTTCTCAGCATTCTTCTGATATTCTATCTCATTAATTTGCAGGCATTTCCTCAGAGATTCAGACGTCTTTGGTTTGTTTGTTAATAGGGAGAAATATATGGTATATGGAGGAGAAGATGGATACTGAAGAACTGCCTTTTTGCCTCTAAAAAATACAGGAAAAGGTTGGTCTGTTSGCTTAACCAAACCCCAAATTCTGCTGTTCACAGAAGCCATTAAACTGCCTTAGGACACTTAAACATAAAGATATTTAGTATACTATAACCTAAGGCTTTCAGATATACAATACTTATTTCCACGTTTTACTGCAGTGTGCTGAAGGAAAATAGTAGGATTTAATTCTGGAAGCTCTATGGCCATGTCCCCAAAAAGAGTCCGTAGCCGCCTGCGTAGAGACTTTGGCACCATGACGGGTAACGAAAGCTGCACAAAAGTTCAGTGAAACCCATCATTCCTGTTGATTTTCCTCCTAAAGCACGAACGGGAAGTTCCTTAAATGCTATTTTTAAGTATTGCCCGTGCCCAAGCCTTTAAGCCCCTGATGCCTGGATGGCTCAGGGAAGCCAAGGACAGAGCTCGTACTTAAAAAATCCACCCGCTTTCCATTAAGCAGCAGTAGAAACATCCTCCAGAAGGCTCTTGACAGAAGAGGATGTCAGTGTGAGCTGGAATTGTTTTCAGAGCAGTGCTAAATTTCCTAAAGTCGTGGCGTTTCCTGACAGGAAAATAGATATATTTAAGGAGGTCTTCTTGGAGAAGCTACCCGGGCTCCGACGGCGCGGCCGGGCCGGTAAACACGGCAGCTCTTGGCTTGGGAATGGCGCTCCAGGCATCGCGCTGTAGCCCGGTCCCGGAGACGTCACGTCCTCCGCTTGTGCTCGGCACCGCAACACCTYGCCGCTCTTCCTGTAGCCACCGCCGCCGGCTTCCCAGGTCACCGCCCCGGCAGGAGCAAGTAGTTGACATCAAGAAAAAGAGGAGGGAAACCGCAGGGTGGGTGGCCGGTGAGTTATGAAGGTCATGGGGATGTCCATGGGTTGAGCTGCTGTCTCCAAGTGCGCGGTGTGGAGCGTCACAGCCGCGCCGGCCCGGAGTCGGGATCCCCAACGTCCAGCTCCCTGTATTTGTCCTCCTGGAAACGCTCCCAATGGAAAGAAGCCTCCTGCCTTAGGAAATACGTGTGTCCTTCGCGTGACTTGCGGGACATCATTAACCACGTCCATCAGTGGTGAGGAAAGCCAGAGCACCAGGGAGGAGGCACTAGGGATGGAGGCACTCGGGATAACTCCTCCGAAGGGGATGCACTGAAAAAGTCACTCGGTGCTGTTAACACCCAAGATGTAGACTTTAAAATCGGAAGCTCTCCAGCGCGTCGCTCAAAAGCTCTCAGCGCTGCCCGACCTTAACTCGAAGCTTTCAGGGCCATAATGGGCCCAGGAAAACAGGAGAGCTTCTTGAAACCCCTCTCACCACCTTCCAGGAGCTCTCAGGCTGCTGGTGCTACAACCCAAACACCTCTCCCGCTCGGCATTTTCATTTTTATAACTGTGAAGCATGATCTTAATAAAGACACAGCTGTATCGGGATCCTCTGCGGAAGGAGGGGATGCAGCTAACGATCCTGCAAGAGCCAGCTCTCATTTTGCTTATTTTTTTWAAAAAAATATTCAGCTTTAATGTAAAACGGAAGTCAATATAGTTTTCTGYGGGAAGATAAAACTTCCATAATGCAGATAGGGAACTTCTGCCCCGGTGGCACTGGGAGCAGGGCTGACAAAGGGAGGAAACGGCCTCTGAAGGGAGCCCGCTGCTCCCGGCCGAGCCGGGACACGGCGAGTGCTGAGACCCTTGTGTGTGGGTAAGTGCCACCTTGCAGGAGCCTTCCTGCCTGCTGCAACGTGCGCTGCAAAATTCAAAGCACCCACAGGGACACGCAAGCAGGTTTAGGCCACCAGTGGAAAATTGAGCTTTCCGGATCATTTTCAAGTTTTCTATGCTTTGTCATCCTATTTAATTTGCATCTGCTGTTGCATCACTCACGTTTTGTTGCAATTCTGCCTTTGCGCATTAAGTTTAAGCGAGCTCGGAGGAGGGCAGCACAGTTGCATCCTCTGCGATGGCACGCACGTGGGAGCAGTGCCGGCCGCGCGCCCGGCTGCTCCAAGGGGATCTGGCGGGACGGGCAGCCCGGATCGGGCTCCGAGCCATGCTGGGGCTGTCGGTGGGTGCTGAGCGGCGCCACTTGCTCGTTGCTCCGCTGCATCTTGGCCCACGCTCATCCCGAGGCCGCTCCTGGATGGCAAACGCGACGTTCCGACCCCGTCACCACCTCCCGTGCTCCTTGTGTTCTCCATGCGTCCGTCCCTGTGCTTCCTGTGGCCTCGAAACGAGGGTCAGGCACAGCCTGGCAATCGCTCCTAAGGATTAGGGTTTGATATGCGCTTCCATGTGCTCTGCATCCTAGGAAAAAGGCATAACCTGGAGCACAGGGAAAGGAGGCTTCGCAGAAGTTGCCTCCAGTTTCAAATTAGCTAAGGCTTCATATTTCCAAGGAAAGAAAAAAATCAAAAGACAGAAAAGAAATAACAGGGAGGACCCTGTTATTTCTGAGAGGGCCCCAGCAGCTTCCACGTGCTGCTGCTCGGAGTGTGGGATGACTCCGTGTGGGATGCGGCCTCGGAACACACTGCTGCAAAGCCAGAGCAAAGCACAGCTCCCTGCGGGGCCGGCAGGACGGGACGCAGGGAAAAGGGACATTTGTGTGGCCGAGGGAGAGGTCTCCAGCAGATCCCTTGCTCAGCACAGCTCCATCCCCAGCGGAGCCGATGTCCGATAGGACCTGCCTGTATAAAACCAGCTTCGCTGCCCATCAAACGCAGGCTGCGTGGGGAGATCCTGCAAGAGGAAGCCCCTGGCAAGCGCCCCTTGGGGCACGAGCTGCTGGTGCCATCGTTTCTGGTGACATTTGCTGCAGAGCGGCAGGGTGGGGAGCACGGCGGCTCCAAGCCCTCCACTGTGGTTGCTCCTTTGCAGCYCCCTGAAATCCATGGGGATGTCAGAACAAGCTCAGCCCCCGTCTGCCCCTCAACCCGGGGCATTGCCAAACTGAATATTGCCCGCTCTGGGGGAAGCAAAAGGGCAAGGTGCCCGTCGAGCCCTTCTGGAGGTGCACGTGGAGCTTCTCTTTCTTTCCTTGGCYGTCAACCTTGCTACGGGCTCCAAGAGTGTCCGATCACACCCCACTCCTTTCCTGCTCTGCGGTTCCACTCTAACAAGCCAGGAGAAAAGATGTGTGAAGCAGTCGCTCAATCCCAAGTGAGCCGCTCTGCGGAGCGCGGATCCTGCTTTCGCTCCGGAGGCTTTGTGGGATGTGCTCCGTGGTGCGGGAATCCCAAGCATCCTGCTGGGATCCCACCACCCTTCCCACTCCTCAAACAATGAGGCATCACCCGCTCCACGAAGACGATGCCGGGAGGCCCACGGCTTCTCCATCCATCACCTCTCCAACATCCTCTGCCGGGTCTCCGCGAAAGCCGTGCCRGGGAATCGCGCTGCCCGCCTGGCTCTTGGCCTCCTTCCCAAAGCGTGGCCAAGCGGGGCAGAACATTTTTCGGCACAATGTCCCCTAACCCTTGGAGTCTTTTCTCAGCGGTTTTCTCCCCCAGCAGATTCCGAGGCTGTGACTTCAGCRGCATTTGTGCCGCGCCGGATGAGCCGCATCCCAGGCTCTGAATCCGCGGCGAACACGAGCCGCAGCGGGGGACCAAACCCCAACAGCCCTAAATAAAAGCGGCCACCGGGTAGCTGTGCATGGTAGAGGGGAAAAAAGAGCCAGGAGCCGAGCGCTGCCCTGACCGGAGACCTCGGGAAGCAGCAAGAGCCTCTCAAAGAGGCTCGAATGAAAACGGCATTTTAACACGCCGTTTCCCATTCAAGGCAAGGACCGGACGAGGCAACAATAACCCACTTGTTCTTCCCGCTGCGGATCTCTGCGAGCGGAGCCTGC